ACACAAGCTCAGAGTCCAGTGATTCTGATGACTCTTCAAATGAGTCATTTGAAGTGATGTTTGTACCGAAGGACGAACTCCGACAAGTAAATTAGGTATGAGGGAATCAATAGGAGGAGACTTTTTTCAAGTGGGGGGTGGGGGAGGGGTTAGCCTTAATATTATCATTATGTGAGGGGGGGGGGGGTTAAAATTAATTTTTGCTTAATGAGAGGGGGGTATGACTTAGTTTTGGGGCATATTTTACCCATTTCCCAGCCCCCACCCCGCCCCCCTCTCCAGGTAATTATTGCACAGTCCCTTAGATATGAGATACACTAAAATATTACAAAGCAAAGCATTGGATCAAGTCTAACAATTGAAACAAGAAAATTGAAAACTTTGTCCGTCCATAATCTATTAGAATGGCCTAAGCGTTACAGCTTGATGAAGTGGTCTGATGAATTTCCCGAGATTCAGCTTCCTTCGAGAAACATTAACCCAAAGTGGCACCCGAGTTATCAGACAGATTGTTCGGGGCATCAAAATGGAAACTGAGTTCGTAAAATCGATGAGGTTTACTCTGTGCCTTCTTTTGCAGGACGAGGATTGTATAAGCCTGTCTCAAGTGTGCTCGGCAAGTTTTTAGGAACTCAGTTGTGGCACTTTGTGCACCAGATGTCTGAAGAGCCTTAAGTCCAGCGGTAGACCATTTGCCAGGCAGCCTCGTCCCAAGATCATTTCTCAAGATCGCATAATTCAGGCATGCGTAGTTGTTGTATGGGATAAATTACAAAGACAGGGGAATAAAGCATCGGAATAGTTTCCAAGTTGTGTATTTAATAAACTACATGCCATACATGGAGGCAGCGCGAGTGAGTGGTTTAGGGCGCTGGTGTTGTAATCCGGAGGTCTCGGGTTCATGGTCTCCACCCTGCCACTAGCGGGATTAGCTTCTCAGTAGTCCCGAGTTCAAATCCTTGGTCACGCTTTGTAAATAACCAACTGGTCTGCCTCCTGCCAGTTGGGATTTTTACCTATGTTACGTTTATTTGAAATACTTGTTTCCTTTGTTTCAGTGGCATGCCTGTAAACTAGCCAAGCTTAGTGCTTGTATAGCTAAGTGCATGTCCACTATAAATAAGGTTTACATTTACATTACATTTTTACATGCCATGTGTTTTGTATTCCTCTACTAGACAAACATTCAGCTTTTCCACTCATCGAAGAAGTGCCTGCTATTCTGAAGAAATTCGTCTCGAAAGAGCCCAAAATTCAACTTTGGAGGCCGCCATTTTGAAACTGTACTTGGCAGCCGTGTTTATGTGACGTCATTCTGTTCAACTCGAATTGGCAGGGAGCAGAAAACCTGCATCTGACTTGGCATGCATTCTTCACAAGGTCAGCAAAATGAAGTTTTTCTAAGCGATTACTATCCACTTTACTATCTTCGCCGCCATAATTTTCGGAGCTTAGAGCATGTTTGGCTCAAAATAATACGGCTCAAGAGCAGCAACAACCCAGAGTGGTAGTTAAAGGCCTTGCCGGAAGCCATTTGCGCAAAATCTCTTGGCTGCTGAGTACTGCTCAAAATGGCGGCAATGATGTCGAAAACTTCCAATTTTACTTACCACGAGCGTGGGTAAAAAGAAAAAGACCAAATACCCTGCACATCGTTTTAGGGAAGCCCTTGCCTTGCCTACAATCACTAAGCTTAAGGGATTCTGAGAGACTTGGCTTCAGATTTGCCATTTGATAGATTAATATGATATGAGAAACAGATCCTCTGTAATGCAGTCGAATATATATGCTCTGTGCATGCATAGGCTTAAACTATACCGTAGAATTCCGGTAGTAACGGCTCCCCGAAAATAACGTTAATTTTTCACCTTCTTATTTATTTAATCCAGAAAGTAACGTTCCACCGAAAGTGGCGGCCCCATGAAGATTACCACTCCAGTACCACAAAAAGCTGTATTTTATTTAATACAGCGTGTGTGATCACACAGTACTATAGATCGATGTACAATGCGATTTCAAAGACTAACGTAAAAAGTAACTGGAACGAAAAATTTCTCTTCTTTCTTATTAAGGTACCGTACGTAAGGTGTTTGCTTTTGCCACTAGTCGTAGTTAGGGCGCAGTTTATATCATCATTGCATTAGATAACAAGAAAATCTTTGGAGTGTGGTATGGTAGCCACGTCGTGTACAACTGAAACAAATGTGAAATTGTCTTAACTTTAATACGATGAGAGGTTTAAACTTAACGCTATTGGAATGTGATAAATGATTTTTTCTAATTATTTACAGTGAAGCCATAAAAATCTTCGCGTGTTTAAGGTATCATGGTAGGTGGATTCACAGTGTTTGGAAATCGCGCTCTTACGCTGGCGCTTTGAAAGAAAACCCCATCAACCTAACATTTTCTGAAAGCTTAATAGTTATATAGTACAATCATACCTTTGAAATTTTCTAAAAAGTTATTGTCGCCGTGATATTAAAAGAAATACCCAGAAACACTGCTTCGCTCAAACTTGTTCGCTTCCGCGCGTGAATTGTCGGAGCGGCGCGATTAACATCGGAAATGTGTTCTCACACATCACCCTCAAAAAGGGTGTCGGCGATTTTCCAGATGTCGTTTGGTTTTTTTTCTACAACCTCCTAAACTTTGATATTCTCAATGCGGACGTTACCTTCTACTAAAGAGGCCATAACTTTGAAACGGAGGCGAAATTAAACAAAGCCCGACACCTTTTTTCGAAGGAGGTATACTGGAACATACCTGCCGATTTTCAGCCAATTCCGTCGGAAGACTCGCGTAAACGAACTGAAAATGTTCATCCTTATATGTAGTTTTATTTTATCGAGTAAAAGACGAAAAACCTTTTATGAGATTGGAATGATTAGGTGTTAAAAATCCCCTACGCATTGACAGATGTCGGCATGAGTCAGTTTATCATAACAATGGGTTATGACAACTTGAAATAAACAGACGTCTATAATTCTGGCGCAGAAACCCGTCGAATTGAAATCGTCTGAGAAGCGACAAACTACCACGTTAAGGGCCCATTAACCGATTTATGCGCGCGCCCGCGCGCGTTGCTAAGGAGGTGAAATTTCACTTCCGGTTACTTACGTCAGTCTGAGCGCGGAAAATAAAAACAACTCANTCACTATAATTACATGGGGATATCTCAATAAAACTACAGATCCTGTGAGGTAGGTGGTCCAACTAAAAGTACCTGGCCCTATCCTCAAAACAATTCATCAACTTACTTAGCCCATTCTACGTTCAAGATGAGATGATCATAGCCAAATCCTTGAACGCTCTGAATGGCTCGTGCAGCATCTTCACGATGAACAAAGTTGATAAATGCAAAGCCCTGTGGATGAAAGAGATAATAAAGTTAAAGACTAACCACCCTATGATCACTTTAATTATTTAGGAAAATGTCTTGCATAAGACCTTATAAAAGGTCAAAATACGTACAGCTGATACTTAAGTCTGTGTGCCATGAAACATCTCGATGCATTGCCACAGGCACTGCCCTCCCAATTAGGTACATTAACACAAAAGCTTAAGGGCCCATTAACCGATTTATGCGCGCGCCCGCGCGCGTTGCTAAGGAGGTGAAATTTCACTTCCGGTTACTTACGTCAGCCTAAGCGCGGAAAATAAAAACAACTCAATAACTTCCAAATTCGCTAACATTTTAGATGTTTTTCTTTGTGTTTCACAAAATGCAAAGTAAAAAAAGTACAAGCAGGGACAAAATAAGAAGAAGACAGGAAAACAAGAGCAATAGAAGGTCAAAACTAACTCTGTGTGGGTTTGTTTGATCTTACCGAAGTGCGCTGATAGTGTAAATTGCGCACGCGCTGATAGGGTAACTTCCAATATATATCGGGCGCACTTCCGGTTTCTTTAAA